TGTCTGAAATGTGTCTGCCTAGAGAGAAACTGATATACGATAAAGATGAAAAAAAATTCAGAACTATCCCGTGAATATTGAGCTCCTTTTTGGGATGAATAAGCTCTTCAGATGTAAAAATAAATATGGAGAACCTCGAAACTCCACATAGTGTTTCTGGGTTCTAGTGCATGTGCATTTTTTATTATCAGTTATGCCACCTCCACTAACATACTGTGCATGTTTTGTAGTTGGACCGTAAAACATTCTTCCAGGAATATTTAAGGCAATACTCAATTAAAATTCTTTGACATATGCAGAACAAATCTGAAAAACTAGAAACCTCAAATCTTAATTGATGCTTATTATTTTGAAATATTAAGTGTTGATTTTGTATTGTGAGAAGCATCCTAGCAATTATGTGAGTTTTAAATAGTTTTTAATTCATGAAAACAACATTTTAGAATAGTTTTTAATTGATTATATCTACAAAAGGTTATTAACCCTAACACCAACGTTATAGTCTACAGTTGTGCCCCCTTACCCATGGGGGATACGTTCCGAGACACCCAGTGGATGCCTGAAACCTCAGACAGCACTGAACCCTAAATATACTATGTTTTTTCCTATACATACATACCTGTGATAAAGTTCAATTTATAAATGAGGCACAGTAAGAGATTAACAACAATAATAAAATTATAACAATTATAACAATATACTGTAATAAAAGCTACCATGGATCTCAGTGACCTCAGCATACAACTTTTTCCTTCCCTTATTAAGTGGAGAACTTTCACCTTTTCACTTAAAGGAATTGCCCGCATCACTATACTTGCACTTTGGGGCCATTACTAAATGAAACTCTTGAACACAAGCACTGCCATACAGTGACAGTCGATCTGAGAACCAGATGGCTGCTGAGTGACTCACGGGCAGGTGGCACGGACAGCCTGGACCCGCTGGACAAGGGGATGAGTCACAGCCCCAGGGAGAAGGAGGGGTACTGGGAAGGGTTTCATCATGCTACGCAGGATGGTGCGAGATTTAGAACTTATGGACCTTGTATTTCTGGAATTTTCCGTTTAATAGTTTCAGACCACGGCTGACCACAAGTAACTGAAACTGTGGAAAGCGATACTTTGAATAAGGGGGGACTACTGTAGTTCCTTTTCCTATTACTGTTCCCTGCACCCGTAAACTTTGAAAATATGAGATGTTTTGGACTATTTTGAATGAACTCTTCAGAACGCACCTGGAGGGATGGTGCCCTTTTTCAGTTCACACAGAACTGCCATATGGTTTAGCTAGTGGCATTTGTGAGTGGACAAGATATTTGTTGCATAACTGTTATCCCAAACACGAAAAATTCAGGATATGGCTCAAGAATCCCCAATACCTTTAAAATGATATTTTAGAAATTGGTCATCCAAATATATTTATATTTTCAATCTATACACATCTTATAAGTGCTTAATTTTAGTTGTCCTCAAACAGGCTTTTTGAAGCTAACTTTATAGTCTTTTATCTTTTAGGCAGAACGGTGGTGACTATCTAAAACAGATTTTCCCAAAAGGCACTCAAAAGAAATCTGCAAAATATTCATAGATGCCTGTGAGAAAAGCATTCCAGAACAAAATAAGCTGAGGCTATATTGGAATAAAAAAAAGATAAGCTGTTCCAAGAGAGAACTTCTCAAAACCTTAAAACCCTAACGTGAACCATGGGTCACAGACAGAAAACACAGGGAGCAGTGTCTGGGTACCTTACGCAGAAGCCACAGCCTCCTGCTCATTTCAGACAGTTTATCTCCACATTTTCTTGGTTCATAATATGCTTGGATCGAGGAGATCAAAACCATACATGACATTTTAACTGCCTCCATAGTGTGGTTTTCTATAATATGGGTAAGATGATATCATGTGGTTTCTTTCTAGAGTCCTTCTTGAGAATACTGGGTACTTGGTTGACTTTTAGGGGACCGAACATGTCTTTAGGGAATGCTAGAATATCTTCTAAATCCTTTTATTGACTTCCAGAATCAAGTTTATCCAAGGCAATGTGTGATAAAGCATTTCTTGTGTCAGAGGATGATTTGAGCAGACATATATAGGGAACCAGAATATAATATAACAGCAGGTCTTAAATTCTTAAATAGATTATAATCTCCCAGTGTGTGTGGCCTAGATACTGTACTTGAAAGTAGTCTTGGAAAATCATGAAGAGCTTACATGTGAGAGGAACTCATCAGTCTGCTGCTTCTTATTACAACACAGAGTATATTCTATCGTCATGACTGACCAGACTCGCTCCCCTTTTAACCACGAATTTGAATAAAGAGAATTTTACAATCTGTGCAGAAACTAGTTTCTAAAAAAATCAGTAAACACACTAGAAGAGTAATACATTGAGAGCAATGATCCCTCACCGTGTCGGCTGTGAGAACAGGGCACCCGAGGCTGAAGAGCCGAAGCCCTTGCCCCAGAAGCGGACACAGCGTTCTTATGCTGATGTCATCCTGTCGCTCTCACGCCAAACCCTCGCCTCAGGTGTCTACCACAGGGTTGATGATGCACATGAGAGCTCTGTGTGTGCACAAGTGTGTGCACGTGTGTGCCCGTGTGCCTCTGAGCATATGCAGAGAGGGACGTATATGAAAAGATAACTCTGAACATTACAAGACAGCCTGCCCCTCCCACCCCATTTCTTCTCTACCCAACTCAGGATGCTGGAAACCACATGAGTACCGTTTATGGAGGATCACTGACCTAGAGTACTGGACTGCAGGAAGAACAGTCCTTCTGGTTAGCTGAAGGGGAAATTCATTTAGCCATTAGTTCTAGCCCTAAATTCACATCATCCACTTACGTAAAAATACCTCTTAGCTCGTATGTGTTCTAAACTGCAGAGAAGAGAAAGAGAAGCTGAAAACAGAGAAACACCCAGAGAAAATGGATTTGTCATGAAGAAATCTATTTGTGCTCTTTTTAGGTCTACCCCTCTCCCCACCACCTTCAATAAATAAGAAAAGTCACAGGGATCACGAAGGTGAAGCCCTGTCGTTTCTTCTGCTTCTCGTCAGGACAGTGACAACCAGTGCTGACTTGCAAGCAGGATTTTCCCACAAAGTAACATCGGCTCCCATCCACTAACAGGCAGTTTCCTCCGATCCTCTTTGTAGAAAATCTTAGTCCCTTGCTGTTGAACTGCCTGAAGTTTCTCTGTTCTTTGCTTTCTTCCTCAAAAATCACATAGCCAAATTTTTCCCAATGATAATGTTTTTTTTTTTAAAGACTGGCACCTGAGGTAACATCTTTTGCCAAACTTTTTTTTTCTCTTCTCCCCAAAGCCCCCCAGTACATAGTTGTGTATTCTAGTTGTGGGTCCTTCTAGTTGTGGCATGTGGGACACCGCCTCAGCATGGCCTGGTGAGCAGTGTCATGTCTGCACCTAGGATCCGAACCGGAGAAACCCTGGGCCACCGAAGTGGAGCGCGCGAATTTCACCACTCGGCCACGGGGCAGGCCCCGCAAAGATAAATTTTTGAAGAATCCTATTCCCTTGAAATTTCAGGAGAATGACAATGGACCCACAAATTATTCTTGCAATTGGTTAGTAATATGGATTTTATTAACTAGTCGCACTTTATGGCACAGGACTCAAGGCACTTGGCTCTATTGTGGACATAAATAAAGATTACTTCAAGATTTACAGTTTCGTAATTATGTAGTAAATTGTTTTTAGTGATTAAAAGTGGAAAAGTTCCTGTTTAAGCCCTATTTATGAATATTCTTGCTAAATTAAATAGGTTTTGAAAAAGAACATCTTAATATTGCAACAGGAAGGAATCTCTTAGGATAATTTTTACCCCTGATCCTAGGGAGCTCGACAAGGCCACCTCCCTCAGCTCTACTGGCTCCTTCTTAAATTTAGGGAACTCAGGATTCTGTCAGGACCAGACGCTGACAACATCAGAAGCAGAGATAAAACGCGTTCTGTTAACATCTTTATCGGTTGAAACTGCTCCTGTAGATTATCGGAGTGTGACATTGCTAATTAACAGTGGATAATTACTCTCAATTTGCTGCAACAGACGAGCCGTGCACAGGGAAGTCCAGGAGGGAGAGGGGCCTTGGGAGACATTTTACTGCACATCCTGGAAGCGCGTGATGCTCTCAGACCGGCAGAGGGTCTGGAAGGCAATGCTCCCATGAACATTTCTATTTCTTGGGCGTGTTATCAAGCCCCAAATCCCTTCAGTGAAACTCTATTTCTGGAATAGTTAAGAACACATATAAAACACACCCTGTGCCTGCTGATTCTGCTCACTGAGGATGGGCTTCATCTGGGCTCCTGAGCTGCACCCCCTTCGACAGGCAGCTGCCTTCTAAGAACACGAGGGCACTGCTGGCAATTTAAACATACTTCATGCAAATTTCTGATAGCTCACACCATGTAAACCAGGGAGGTGTACTTTGTTATCACATGCACTCCATCCCACTGCTACGGGGTTAAAGAAGTGGGTGGCAAACCACAGCCCATGAGGAAAAACACAGCCTGCTTCCTGATTTTTGTAAATAAAACTTTACTGGCACACAGCCATGCTCATTTGTGTGCACGGCTTTCACGCTACCACAATGTTGTTGAGTGACTGCGACAGAGATGGTCCTGAAATATTTACTATGTAGCCCTCTACAGAAAAAGCTTTCTGACCCCGGACTAAAGGATGCTCTGTGGCTTTCATCATATTAGAAAGAAACTCCTGCAGATGCAACTCTGAGCAATTGCTAGAACCATGACTATGGTTATAAGCTATATCTAGACTAGACAGGAGCAAGCAGTCAACTGGCGATACTACACAATAGTTAATAGACGTTCAACCCACTCCAGTCCCAGTTATGTTCATACAACATTTCTGCTACTTGACCTGAACTGCGTCTTAGCAAGAATATTCATCAAGCTAGTTGCATTTGTATACCACGGATGAAGACCAGCGTATATCAACAGGACGGCCAACTCACCTGATTCTACCCCCGGGGCGCTCAGACTGCTCTGACATAAAGCTTGTGCTGCTGAGGCGGGAGGCACTGCTGGTTCTGGAAATGGCGGACACATCACTGACATCACTATCTGATGATCTGGCAGAGACGTTATCACAGCTTCTGTATTGATCTTTATGTATGTTATACTAAAGATTGAAAACAAGAAAGCGAGAGCTCCATCATCAGATCGTGGACAAAAGGGACACACGCAGTGAGCTTAGTGACTACCTAGCCAACGTCAAATAAAAGTGCACCTTCTTAAGAGCAGGTGTGGATCTGCAATAATCCAACATCAACACAACACATGATTCCCAATATAACATACTACCTCTTTGAACGGTAAGAAATGGTTTATGAATACTGAATTATAAACTAAACACAAAAATTAAGTGCTTGGGTGGAAAATTCACAGAGTTAATTATTTGCACATGCATAAAGCCTCAAAAGTGTATTATTTATTTTCTTCTAGTACATGAGTTTCTCTTTTCTTGCTTCTGTTTTTATCATTGCCTATTTTATTCACCTTCTACTCTACCCATGGGAGACACTGTTTCCACCCGTGCTTCTAGATTCTTTCTAAACTATTCAATTAACTTACACACTTTCCCTATTGTAAGACTTTGCTCTTTCAAATTTCTTCAGAAAAATATATCTCCTCACAAATAAGGGCTGATTTTAAAGCTGAGGAGCTGCGTCAAAGACGAGTAAAGCAATGAGGCAGAGACTGCACTTGGCTTCCTGTCTATTACAGTCTAATTACACATCTTCAGATGCAAACTATCAATGCAGTGCCAAAAGTAAAAAATGGGATTCCTATTAAAATTTCAATATTCACCATATCTTATACTTAACTGTGTCTTTAAATTTGTCTTTGGCATCCTCACCTAAGATTTCAGAAATCATTTGGTAAAAGACTGAAACACACAAAGCTTCAAAGCACTTAATCTTTTCTTTCTATGTTACTGTCTTATTTTAACAGATAACAGTGAACAGCCTTATGTATCATATATTATTATTATTTTATGTGTTAATTATAATAAACAATAAGGTTATATAATCACATATGATTTTAAAATACTGAATATATGAATAATTCTCTTAGGTACTAGAAGGTAAGATAATATACCTTCTTATATAAAATGAAAGAACATACCTAAAAGGAACACATGGCTAAACATTGGGTATTTAAGTTCCTTTTCAAGCAAAATATCAAATGTTCATTAAACCTGTAAAAAAAACCCCATCCACCCTCTGATGCTCCATATTTGATGAGTTTTAATGAATCTAAAATAATCCAAATACTCTATTTCTAAAAATCTGTATAAACAGTTGTCTTGCTAAAGTATACTAAATAGACTGATGCTAACACCTGGATCTGTATAAACAAAAAGAAGTATAAGACAATAATATTTTTTAAAAATCCTAGAGAAGGCAATCATGTTTATTTTATCTCTCAGACAGGAGCAGTTCAGGTCTAGGGTATTCACACGTTAGGTTAAATTCTTCACCTCTTACGTGTATGCACTGGGCAAAGAATTTCACATCAAGCATGAAAACAACTCCAAATTTATAGAATATCTATAAAATTATCTTCCCAAAGAATTTTTTCATACGCGTGTGATTTGTTTTTGAAAGCCATATGCTAAATTATAATCCAAAAGGAAATTCATATATGTCATTATGTCCAGAACTGAGTTATTTATACAACTTCATGTGTGATCTAAAATTACTATGATTTAAGATAATGTATTCAAAGTAATGTGATAACATTTTATCACCAAATCCTGTCATGTCTTATAGCATGATCCTGTGTAACATGATTCATTTCAAACAGAACTGTTTTTTATTTACAGAGTAAATGTAGTAAAATCTTAGTATGCTCACGAGGCAGAGGCTGAGTTTAATACAGCTCCTGGGGTGCAGTATGTTACTTGTTCTTGAAACAGTTTTGCTACGGAGATACATTATGTAGTCATTATAATGTTTCCAAACATATTGAAATGATAGCTTGCTCATGGCAGAATATGAAAGAATTGGGTTCTAATACCATAAAAATTTACCCAGCAGTAGGAGACTTTCTGGCATTGTGTTAACACCCAGAACAAGTGCTCCCCTTATTTGACAAAAGTCAATAATAAGCAGTGTAGACTTAGCATGAGAATATGTGAGTGTACACGGAACTGTTTCTCTAACTGTGGAAATTCTCCTCCATAAGCCATCTTTTCTTCAACTTTTTGTATACAGACTTTTCCTCTTCCAGCAAAGAGATAAAACAAGGGATTTGAAGTCTGTATATCATACTAGATTTTTCTCTATTGGGGTAAAGAATAACCCATCATTCTGACAGGAGATCACAGTTTTCTTCACACTGGTTATTTAAAGGAAATAAAAGACTTTCATATTCACTTTTTAGTACTATATTTACTTATTTTCAAAATCTGTTAAAAGTTTAAGTAATCACTTTGACTTTTCATCAAGCATAATTTGTTAATTTTCCTACTTAACAATTAGATATTTTATTGGAAATGCATTGTTTATATTTTGAGAAACAGAATATCCTCAGGGCGAATGTATACTGACCACAGAGCAGGGAAACAGTGGTTGCTGTGAGCGGAGGCTCTCATAATAGGGCTGCTGTTTTTACAAGCAAGTAACAATAAACAGTAGCCACCTCCAAAAGCCATCACTTCAGTCTTGGCTGCTGTTCCTGGGTTGCAGAAGAATAAGCTCTCTGCAAAGTGTGAGCACCTAAATGCAGATTCACCCCCCAATTATGAATTTCACCCCCTCACTCAGGCATGCACCTCTGCACCATGTCAGTGAAAAGCAGCCTGGTGTTACATTTCAGAGCCATGGTGCAGTTTCGCCGTTTTTTTCAAAAGCGAGTTAGTGCTCACTCCTCACTCAGGATGGATGTCAGGATCCTTCAGTCTTAAAGTGCCAGGTTCGAAACCTCCTTGGAATTATACTACACTTGTCTGGTAATTCTTTCCCCCAGGAAACTTCGTTTTACTGGTATTTGGTTGTAAATATTTTGAGAATGGTTAACTAATCTCTAATTTGGTAGAATAGCAACTAAGATGCCTTGCTTCATCCAAAATGTCAAATGGATTAAGACACGAGAAAAGAGTCAATAAAGGAACAAAGGGGCTGGCCCCGTGGCCGAGCGGTTAAAGTTCCATGCGTTCTGCTTCGGCAGCCTGGGGTTCATGGGTTCAGATCCAGGACTCGGACATATCCACTCATCAGCCATGTGGAGGAGGCATCCCGCGTACAAAGTAGAGGAAGATTGGCCCAGACGTTAGCTCAGGGCTGAGCTGCCTCAAGCAAAAAAAGAGGAGGATTGGCAATGGATGTTAGCTCAGGGCCCATCTTCCTCATAAAAAAATAATAAATAAATAAAGGAATAAAATTCAAAATTTAATGTATATTAAATTTATGACAATCCTGGTTCATAGTTATATGAACACAAACATTTCTTTGTAAAGTAAATTATAAAAAGTTGGGATAAATGGATGAAAAACGAAAAAGATAATTTTCCAAGTATGTGAGAGAGGTTTGAATTAACTGAAATGGCTACTAGAAACTATTTAAAAATTTTATTGTATGCAGTAGGCCATAATATGTATATTAGAATCCTGGAGAGTATTAATCTTTTACTTGACATATAAAATAAAAAATAAGCTAATCAATTTTTATTTTATCTTATATATTTTCCTATCCTATATTCTTAGAAGTTTTTAAAGATACCCTATCTTTGTGCTCACATTTATTGATGTAATTTATAGTCACTTTATCTATGTAATATGGTAGCATCCATTCATGGAGTAAGAGCAACAGTGATATATTTGAAAGTAATGGGTTTTTGATATTTAAATGAAATGAGAGAGAAAAAGACAAAGGATGCTTGTGTGAAGGAGGGAGGAAAACTAGCATGGGATCATTTAATTGTGCACAAATCACAAGCCCAGGAAGAAGCTGAGCCAAGCTGGATTCGTACACCTCCCGGTGACGTAAGACGCAGGACACAGCAGGCCATGCAGCCCGCAGGAGGAGGTCCGGGCCAGCCCTCTACGGGGACGCTTGACTAGCTCTGGTAAATCACCCCGTTTCTCCATTTTCATAAGTTTAGTAAACAGGAGAGCTGGGGCAGAAGATTATTTTGAAGTGTTTTCAAGTTCTAAACATCTATGAGCCAGAGAATTTGGAATCCTGTGAGCAGGAAAACCGACTCTTGCTTTAGTAGAACGGTAAGTAACTGGCGGTTTGGACTTCCAGGGACTTCCTTTTGCAGATTTTTTGATGAACTGACTAATGATTACAGTCCTGGTTCAGAATGACCCGGTGGGCTTTCAGCATTTACCCTCCTTCTTTATTTGTCTCTTTCTCGCTTCCTGTACTGCCCGACCTCCCTCTGTGGTTCTAGCTGACCTCATCCTTGGACACAGTGCTAAGAAATCGATAAAGCATTTCCAGCTTTGATACAGCATTTCCAGCTTACAGATCCTTTCCGAAGACCTGCACCTGCTGTGCAGGAGGAACCCTGAACACCTCCCTTCCCATCCCCCTGCGCCTGCAGAACACAGCACAGGAGTGACGAGGATAACCATAAAGAACACAGAGAAATGAGCCGATTACGTGATAATACCACAAAGAATAAACCACAGGGAAGGGATGTGGAGCTGGGATCAGCAACTCCGGGGCACATTAGGGTGTTCTTGTGGATGTTACTTTTTAAAATGTTGTGTCAGACTCCAGGGCACTGGGCCTCACTGGGTCACAGTGACCCGGCGCTGCCTCATCTGGGCACCCTACTCAGCTAACACAGGACGTCAGGAGACAGACGGCAGCCAATGCACGTGACTGGATGGAAGTCTATGGGAAAACCAGACCTCTATTTTTTGTATTAGTCTCTGAATATCTGGCTATATAAGGAACAACCTCTACTATTTAAAAATAAGTAGGTTTTTCTAGGTTCATATTTCAAGCTAACCATATTGATTTAGTATGGTTTTTATTCACTATTGAATTTTAAAAGGTCATTACTCTCAAAAAGACTTCTTGATGTGAAATTATAACAAAAGTTGTTCTGTAATGGCTGCTGCCACTTTTGCAGTATTATAAAAAAAAGATTTTTAAATAAACTAGATAATATATTTAAAATTACTTCATGAAGTATAGCATTTTATGCATATTTTAAGTAAAATTATTAGATGTTAGCAGCTTATAAATCCCTTCGTGAATCCTTACAAAATACTATTAAAATATAAATTAAGCGTTTATTGGCACTTGAAATTGTGTGGACTTCACTTTCTAAGAGTCTAATATCAGTGACTTTTCTTACTAAAGACAGATCAGTAAGAAATCTCCCATCGTTGACTTTTTATTATTCACTAACAAATCTCAACAGTAAATATCAAACTAAAATAGTATTTAAGACTATAAATCTATATCTTAATATTTTAAATGCAATCTTAAATGATATTCAAGAAATACAATAGCATCATATATTTTGCTTATTTATGTGAATTTGACTATTAACCATCCATCAAGTAACTTTAATATCAAGTATTTACATTTCCTTTTTAGAAAAAACATTAGATCCAATTTAGTAGGTCATATTTTAATACAGTTGTATGTTGTGAAACTGTCAGGAGGAGAGAGGTTATGAGCAAGACTGTCATCTCATAACTTCTCTCCTGGACCTCGGGGCTGCCTGGGCCTGCCTGGCCACAAGGTGCACATGCTCAAAAGGGAAACTGTTGGTCGGATGCTGCCAGTTTACCTGGGAATACTGCTCGCGATCGAGTTCTTGACTAGACCCAGACCCTGCCGTCTGCTTAACCCGGTGCACTTTCAGTTTCATGTGTCTCGTTCGCTCCTCCACTACTAAGCTCACTGCAAAAACACACAATGGAAGCCTATTAAACACGGGCAACACCTTCCAAGACCAGAACGGCTTAAGATCTCAATGCTTTTGATATGAATTCAATTAAATGGAGTTTAGAAATAACATATGATTAATAAACTAAACAAAATGCAGAATATACAACGCTAGCAACTGTTAATCTGAGATGAACATGACTCAACTCACAGAATGAGGAACACAGACGTTAGTAACAGAGAGAAGGACCCTATCTCTGTGTCTGATCTGAAACAGTCTCATCTGTAAATGATCATGTGAAACTAAGTTTAATTGTGAAAATGTTTTGTATTTAGTCACTTGGTTGTTGGGTGTACATATATGAAAACACACATGCACGCTGCACACTCACACACATGCACATGCTGGCATGCATGCACACACTCCCTGACACCCTCAGCTCACAGTCGCCACCTAAGACTGTTTGAATTGATGGGCATCTGCTTTTCTGAGGCATCTTTTTCATTAATTTCTACCAGCAGCTTTTCATGAATATTTGCTAGTCTTAAAAATGGACCTACTAAGAAAAGATTAGTCTTTCACTTCTAATGGCCACGTCTGACCACATAGATGAAATTCATAAGTTTTGAAAATACGATATAAATTTTAGCTCTTTAGTTTACAATGTGTAACGAGAAGTATTCCATGTAAGCCTCTATTAATCTCCTAGGGAGCAGGTGTCACTGTTTCGATGGCAAGAACAACAGCATTCAATGAAGTACGAGTTGTTGTAAGTCAGAATCCATCATAAGCAGCTTAACTTCAAGATCTTGCCTTTAATTTTCACATTTTTACAAACGAAGAAGAGAGAAGAGCTCATGGTACAGTTGTGTGCAGAGTTAACTCTTCACAACAGATACCTGTGTTGTATGAGACCCACGTTTATTTAGTACAACCTATCTTTTGCCAATTTCCCAGACTTTTCAACCTCTGCAATGAGGGCTAAAATTTATTTTTAAGTTGTGCGTATACACATATATATGGAAAAAATATTTTTTGACTAAATATATTGGGGCTTCTGCCAAGAGGCCCTATTGATGTAAAAATAATGGAAATGTTGATACATCTGATTGACTTGGCTACTGGCTTCATCTCTTACAAAGAGTGTGCAAAGACACTTGCTGACGAGTTTTTCCACGGCAATGATTAAATATGACCATCCTTGACAAAAGACACTGGCACTCATTTTCAAAATTAAGTGAATATGTAGCTTTTATTTTGTTCAGGTATAGACTAATAGCCCAAGAAATAAATAAACTGTTTGAAATTTGTGTCTAAATGTTTTAATGATACTTCTAGCACGAATTATTAGATGTTTAACTTTGCTTAAATTCAGTAAATGAGACAGAAAATATCTATCTCTAACATCACAGTTATGTGAATTGAGCAATGACAGACACTTGCTTTGAAAATGTTGACTTCAGAGATAGCAAATGATGGCCATTATGATTGAAGGAAGGTTCAATGAAGATCTTGAGAAAGGCAGTTCAGAAATTTATTAATTACTTGAAAATGAGCATTGTAAATAATAATGAACATTATAAGCAAAATGCTACTTGACAGTAATTAGGAATTGAGACAAAGTTACTGAGAAATGTATTCTATTTATAGAAAGCCATATGCAATACAAGAGAACACATCTCTGGTCTCTGCCCTCTGCCTGTGGTGTGGGTATCGTTGGGCGCTAGCTCAGTCACCTGTTTGGGCTTGAGGAAGTCAAATTGTAATCAGCTGTAATCTCTAAAGCTTGAAGTAATTCAAAGCAATCTCTACTTGTAAGAAAAACAGACTTAAACGATGTTAGCTTAATATTCTCATCAAATGATATTAATTTTATGTTAAGAAATTTTTGACAGTGATTAGCCCAGACCTCCGTAATCTTTGCTGTATCATGTAATTCTTAGGGAAGACGGGAACTGGAGACTGAACAGATTACTCCCCAGAGCTGCTGGCCTGAAGCAGTTGTGGTGACCTAACCTCGCAGGGACAACACCTCATTTTTCTAAATGCGATTGTTTAGCTTCCAATACGAAAGCATTTAAATCCTCATTTGGCAAAACTCAAAACTAAATCCAGTGGTAGCCTAACTAACATCAATCTTAAAATGGTTTTAAATGACTTCACTTTTACCTTCCAAAATTGATTAACACACTTTATCTTTATTCTTAAAGAAGTGAAAGTTGACCTCTTTTAACCTATTAAAAAAAGAAAACCCCCAAATTAATATCGACTCAGAATCGAGAGTGGACTGTCCGACTCTCCAGCAGAAATTGGTTGCTATGCTATCCCCATTGACTGTTCTCAGATCCCAAGAACAGGAGGAAAATGCAAACAGCTTATCATTTACTTATACTGAAAAGTCATATGATTACATATAATCCACACTTTTATTATTTCTCATTATTTCCTGACAATATGTCCATTAGTGTGTATTTTGAAATAACTGTTGATACAAGTTATCATGTTCCAGTGAAAGTTTTTTTTTTCATAAATATCAATGAAGAACCTTCCATGTGAATTTGGAAGTTTTTAACTTTTCTAAAGATTTCACATTTTTTTCTCAATTATATATTGTGGAATAAAATGACACTATTTCTGGATTACTGGCATGTGACTCTAAATAGTAAGACAGATTTAAGAGCTAAAATAGAATATTTATCATGAATTTGAACCAGAAGGTGTATTCCATTAATGTAATGACTTAAACAAAGAATACTTGATATTTAGGAATGATTAAAAATGAACTGGATCCTTGGAATATGATTTTCTGTCGAGTTATCTCACTATCAGTAAAATTAACCACAGCCCAGGGAACTCAAATACCTTACTTTGAAAAGAATGATTACTGATCATCATTCAAAAATTTTATGTTATTTTAACAATTTTAATGCCAATAAAAAATTAAAATATGAAATAAAATATTTTCCAATTCTCCCACAAATCCTAGCATTAAATCCACATTTTAGGAACATTTTGAATGTTGGCAGCACTGTAAACTAACAAAATCACTAAAATGCCAGTTGCTATTTGTTTATAAAAAGATTTTAAAATTGTGGGACTCTTGGGTTTTTATTTTCAAAATTTTTCAAAACTGCCACATACTAGAGAGTTAAATAACCCCTCATTTTCTACAACAGACATAATTACCATGTATCATTGAGTCTTCTAATGAAAATACAGCTTACATATAATACAGACAAAAGATGAGCACATGTAGCATAGACTGTGTTTCAGCTATAATTGCAAATTGTGTGACAGCAACAAACCATTCATCTCCCCAGCCCCAAAAGCGTAATTAACATTGCAATTTTATTAAAAAACTGCTTTTTAAGTTGGACTTTTTAATTATACTTTCTACAAGTTGAATGATGTGTTTGATGTCGAATAAATTGTGCTTTTTAAAGAACAGATATTAATTTACCTAAAAAATGCTTATTGAATATAATTTATTTTCTTTAGATCAACATTAATCTCTATATATTATTATTTCTAAACTCTGGCATTTCTATCAGATAAATCTACAGATGTCAAAAATCAACTCATTACAATTAAAAAAGTATAACAGTGGAACTTATTTTTAGGGATTAAATTAAAACCAGACTTATGAAATCATTTTTTGTTTTCAAAACTCAACAAGAATAACTCATTGGAACATGCAAGGTGACATTCAAGTAAACACAATTTAAAAAGCCTGTAATTTATTACAAATTTCTAATGGAAAGTATTAGATACTATCAAAAATGCAGACATTAAAATAATTACTTCTTTTTTCATGTCAGATGCTTTGCCATGAATTCTTAATCTAGTGTGATGGATGGTCTCTGAGGAATCTAGGAACAAGCTGAAATCATCTGAAGACACTGTTTGTGCCTCAATGCATTTTCCTAGATCTATCCCTTTCATAAGATTATTAAAGAATGCTGTGACTTACAAAATAAAAAGCTTAAGGATCTTTAATAAATCTTTCCTACTCCATCACTGAAAAATTCCTATACTATAAACTCCTCAAGGAGAAGGTGTTTTTTCTGGGAAACTCCTTTGACTTAGCAGACATCTGTGATTTGCTTAAAAATATTGTAAATATAGTTACATGCAATTTAAGATCATTATAACTTAAAATTAAAACTTTCATAAATGTTTAAATATTATTCATGAATTTACAATTATAGAAAGATAAATTTGTGCTGATATTCTAATTTCCTAAATCTTTCACATTTCTCCCTACACATCTGGAAATTAACATGGATTTTTAATTTCAAACGTTTATGTTTATAGGCAAAAAAAAAAAATCCATACAATAATATTGTTAAACCTTCCAATATTTTCAAGTATTTTAGGTGAAACATGAGTGTAAAAGAAAGTAGGAATAATAAAAATTTCTATATTATTAAATATATCAAAGTAAAAAGATTCTGAGTATTTTATTTGTAACAGGGGTACTTAGCACTCAAATGATACAGGACAACGGGAAGGGTCCTCAGGCTTGTCTGGTTAACTACACTGAGCTGCCACACTTTATGAATAGAAAAGCGAATGCCTCTGCTCCTTGCTCTATAGCAATACAATGAGGGTTGGCGATGGGGAGCCCCACCCTCGCTCCAATGTGTGTCTCAGAAAGAGCAACGATGAAAGATCACCTATCCGGAAGCTGTCAGGCAGAAGGAAATCTACAAACTGACACCTACGATGCCTCAGTAGTGACAGCCTTTGAAACAGTTCTTCTCCGAAGCATTTTATTGTTAAAAACCACTGAGAGTGGGAACTCAGGTATGAGAAATAGTATAATATGAAACACAGAGATTAAAAAGGAATAAAAGATGAAAAATTTAGCTGTCTGCAGCCAGCACAAATGACACAAAGTCTGAATAGAAAGAAAGAAAGAAATGTTTGATGTTTGAAAATCTAAATATGTAATATCAGTCTGTACGCACAGTTTTTTAGCCTTTAGAGGAATACGAACTGTTAAGATGGACAA